CTCGACAGAGGCACTTGTTTTCCATGCTTTATGCCGTACCGTCCTCCCTCTCTTTTCTCTGAAGCTCGGGGGGGATTGTGGTGTGTGCAAGCTGCAAGCTGCAAAGCCTCTGTTGATTCCACGAGGATGCATTTTTCCTCCTCAAAGAGAGAAGTGAGACTGTATCTATCAGTACAAACAGATGCTTCACCTGAAATTGAATCACTTATTTTGCCAACTGAAAGACTGAAGGCTAGAAGCGTTACGTGAGAGGTTTGCAGAGGCCGAGCTTGACGAAGGAAACGTCCTTGATAAAGCGATCAAGTCACTTAGTGAGTGTGTATCCTGCCTGGAGGCTGATGACTCATCATCTTCCTCTTCCTGTTCAGAATCACTGGACAGTGTTTAGAATGTGGAAAGATGTTAGACAGAGGCGATGCCTCTCAGGAAGTTGTCCTGAGCCTCTACAGTAGGCGCAGAGTCTTATGATCCTCACAATGTTTGTTTTCTTGAAAAGGTGTCTCATCTTGTTCTCGCTCCTCAGGATGTCTTGGCTTTGTGTGTTTGTGTGCTTGCTCCCCTTGGGTGGATCCATCTAATACTCTCACATGCTCTGACCTGAGCTTCTTGGGATACTTTGCAGGGTGTGCTTTCTTGCCTTGGGTAAGGAGATGCAAAAAAAAAAAAGCTGCAGTCTAAAAGAAAAAAAAAACATAGAGCAGGTATAAAGTTACAGAAAAGGTTGTGAAATCACACAGAAGCAAAGAAATATATATTTTTTCTAAACACACCAGGTGGTGGGAAAACTGGCCCGTAGCATCCCGCTTCAGCCTGCCGTGCAAATCCTAGAAATCGTACATCTGGATGCCAGGGGAGGCTTCCCTCTGTGGGGAATCTTTTGAAGTCACTGCTGAATCTGGAGTTATGCTCTGGGTTGCACTGGAGAGAGTTTTGAAGGCAGGACACTGAGCCTTTATTCCACGGCTCTCTGGCTCCAGTGAAGCACATTTCTCAGAGCTGCAGGGGGACGACTGCAGGGGGCAGGCAGAGAGGTTTTGGAGGGTCTTGGAAAGCTTTAAAAAAGGAGAGTTGGCTTTTCCAACTGCAGTAATACACAGTGGGTTCTACAACTGGTGGAATTTCCAATTCTATATGAAATGTGCTACAAATTATTTCCTTTGCTTGGGGATTTTTCTGCAGCTGACTTTTGACTGTAATAGTGTTGAGAAAGTCTGCATGCAAAGAATCTCTTCTTTCATATCTATGTATCCGCTCTCTCTTTTCACAGAGCTCTGATTAAAGACAGACCATGAGACGGGACAGCTGGATAAATGTTTTCCGTCAAACAATTCTGCAACTGTCGGTACATCACGATCCAAATCATGTTGTTTCATTCTACCTCGACATATTCAACCCCCTACTGAGATTTCCAACACCTGCCCCCCACTACATTTGAGATAAAATGCTCAAACACAAAGAACCTTATAGTGTTTAGGACATAAATACAACATAACAGATGGCAGGTAGGTATGGTGTAGTGTAGAAGTACATGTTTATACTCGGATACAAACAGGTGTGAAATAATCCTGGGAAAAACCAAGACTGCAGCAAGGTGTAACACCCGATCCCCCGTCAGGTGTTTTGTTTGTAGGCTGCTGCTACACTTTGTAGCCACAAGCAGCGAGGGTAATGTTACAACCTCAGACACGCTGTTATCCACAAGCTGTTGTGTGAGGAAACAACGCCTGGTTTTTTTTAACCCCATCAAAAAAAAACATCAAACTGAACATCGAGACAAAACAGTAAAACTGCAGATTTAGATGTAAAAAAAAAAGCAAGTTCACTATTGATTTGTGTAGATTTTTTTTTTTTGTTTTTCTGCTAAAATACAAATTCCAATGTTTTAATTGATACCTTTTTTATTTTATGTGGCTTCTCTGCTTCTTTATGGTTTTCTTTTTACATCTTAAGTACGCATGTTCTTCTTCTCTAAGTATCAATCAATCAGTATTTGTATAACAAAGTGTTATCTCGAGACGCTTTACAGAAGAGCATACGGGATAATATGCAGGCAGGATTTCTCATTTATATTCCTTGACTTCCTGTTGTCCACACCCGTGGCGATTCGAGGACGGCGGTGGTCGTGGGGATGACACAGTCCGATGGCGGTGGCTGGGCGTCGATATATCTATCTGTATCGTGAAATAAATCAACCTCTCCCACAGCTACTTTTCTTATGCTTAGGGTTGCTACCATGTGTTCAAAGAGACCGAGTGGACGCTCATTAAGCTATGATAATGAAAAAAATACCGTGTTAAAAATAAAGTTACTGCCTCAAAATTAAGGAAATTAGCATAAAAATGTACTTTAAAAAACCCTTAAGTAACAGTTGTTACTTATTGTACAAGAATGGCTCTTGGTGAGTAAAATGTTTACATAAATGAATCATAAAGGTGGAGCTTTTTTGATGGATTTATACACTAAAGACCAAGGCTCAGTGGTTTAATCTTAATCAATAATAACACACTTTGCATTAATTATCTGAATATGCAAAGCAACCAAAGAACCAGTGACATTAGCATCATTTCTCTCTTCAAAGTTTTGGAGTAAAATTGTAGAATAGCAGAATATAGAAAATGATTCATGTCAACAACTGCCTGGAGTTTGAAACATCGATAGTGTGGTTGATATCATTTCCAATCACAAGAAGAAAAAAAAGACAAATTTCGACTGATGACGTCAACCTCTCTGTAATCTCACAGTCTGGCCTTACATGTGAGAGTGGTTTCAAAGACACTGACTGCCATCCCACATGAGGCTGTGCCACTAAAGGTTGAGCCCCTATAGATTAGCACAAGATCCAGGGGCCGGGATTCATCGAGTCGCTCTTTGACTTCTCTGGCTCCCCCACATCTCTGCTGATCTCCTCACAATCTTCTGTTAGGCTGCATTAATCTCACCTCCTCTCGCTGTCTTGTCTGAGGCACATCGAGCGGCACACTCACCTTTTACTGTTTGTTCATTCTTTATTTTCACACAGGGGGAAAAAAGAACAAGGGGAGACGGAGGAAGCTGTGGTGGGATTCAATCCAATGCCAGTTTGAAGCATGCAGGTTTTTCAAGAGGTTGGAGGGGCTCGACTTGCTCGCCTCGGTGTGACCACCGCCTCGTCCATCACACTCACACTGACAGGAACTCTGCACCACAAACCAGTTTCCAGGGCCTCCCTCAGGTATTTCTCATTACCATTTGCAGAGAGGGAAACCTTTTTAAATTACAACTATGTCCTCTGGTGGGTTTATTACAGTGTGTCTGCCAACTGCACGATATATTTAGTTACATCACTCTCAAGCTGAGTTGTATGATGTTGTCTTAATCTTGGCAAATGTTAACCGTGGAAGCGAAGGATTACATTCTCTCTAACAAACTGCTGAACATACAGTAGGGTATGTGAAAGCTTCACCTCAGAGAAATGATACGCACTGAAGATATTACATATTGCTTTGTATAAAATCAAGCCATACAAGGAGAAAGGGAGTTGTTGATTTGACAGGGGAATAAAAGTTTTAGCAGATTTCTCTTGATAGCTCCGTGCAGACATACTGGAGGAAAACAGTCCCGGAAAATGTAGGCTCAAAAATAATTTAAAGTAGTTTTTTTGATAAGAAAAACGTCTACAAATCAAACATGCCATCTGAAGAAGAAGTGTCCCTAGACTTACCCAAAAAGGCTGAATAAAGTGACCCAATCAACGGCAATGAACGGTTGCATCGACAAAGTTATGTCACAAAAGTGGTTGGGAATTAATCATGATAAGACTCTAAGTAGATTAGAGCTAATGCCAGATAAGCACATTATAATTAACTTAATAATCAGTTGAATCAGCACTCGTGTGGGGGTAAATAAAAAATGGCATTTAAAAGATGACTAACAGTCCTTTTAACCACAAATTGAATCAGTATAATTGTTCTTGAGTGTTTTTTTCCTTTAAATGAACCTTTCAAAAGAAAGTACAGTTAAATTATGATAAATTCTTGTAATGCCTCTGGTCAGCTGAGAGCCATTTAGCGTGCATGCCACAATCGAGGACTGTCTGAAGTTAATTTCCCCCGATACAGTCGTCCCTGATTGTAATTCTGGCTGATCGGCCTGTCATTTTATTGACTGATTATGGAAGAGGTCAGGATAATGTCCAACACTGTCCACCCCTTTTTTTTTGTCCATCTATCATTCCAAGAGTCAAATGCCATGATCTGCAGGGGAGAGGAATTGAAGTTTGATTGGCATCGACCTTGTTTTTCTTGCATAATTATGAATGATTTAGGTATTAGTGCCTTCTTCCATCATAAATAATTCATCAAGCCCGCCTTCCCCCCCCATATCCTTTGCTCCTCTGCTCCTTAAGTCGCCTGGGATCTCAGCTGTGTCAAGCTGGTCAAAGAAAACCCATTAATACCGGATATTGATACCACTGCAACAAAAAATAGAAGTCAAAGGCACCCAGTATTGGGTTATTTCCTTAATAATTACGCTTCAGTCTATGGTTAGTTTTCTTGTTTTAATTACCAAAAATTTGCGAGCAACATTTCAGTAGGCTGCAGTCTAAATTGCAAAAAAATAAAATAAAAATTGCAACACTTTGGAATTAAAATATTGCTTATGTAGGCTATTTCTGCAAGAAAGACAGTGTCACCCCCTCTAGTCTACCCTCTGCTTGTAGGCTATGAGACATAAACGTAATCCTTCCTTCTTTATGAGACGCCATAATGATTTGAGAAACTTCAGCTGGCTAATTTAAAACATGCCATATAGAAAGTGTTAACAGCCTTACTGGAAATATGTTCACAAAAATAGTTCAGAATAAATATATCTTTTAGGTTGGGTCGTTTTGCACCACGTCCCGCGTACGTTGCAGCCTTTTCGTGTGTTTTTATTTTGAAAGGATCCAGCGGAAGTATCAATATTTGATGGTTTTCGCGAACTTGCCCATGTGATTGGCAGGTCAGCGCTCCATGTTGCGGCGCTGCGTGGCACTGGGCACTGACTGGCTCTGACTGCAGCACACACACACACACACACACACACACACACACACACACATGACTCTAGTTGTGAATGGCCCCGCGACACTCGGCACACTTGGCGTGCGGGAAGTCACCGTCAGTCCGGATCTACTGCTACCTGCTGCCTGCTGCTGCTGCTGCTGCTGCTGCAGACCGAGGTTGCGCTGCGTACACCCATGGGTGTCGCTACTGTGACCGTCTTGCCTGCTGAACGTTGCCGCTTTGATCCGTGCAGCTATTTTCAGAGTCTCCTCCGTAAAGCGTTTTTGGACGTGCAGCCTGCAGCTCGGGCAGTCAGGATCGAGGAGCCGCACGGAGCGCTGCAGCAGTCACGGACCCGGAGCAGAGCAAGGGGAGGCACGGATGCAATTGAGAAAAAAAAATAAAGGTGCAAGTCTAGGAAAGGTAACATGTCTACTTCTTTTTTTTAATTTATTTATTTTTAGCACTTTTTTTTTTAACCTTTTCTCACCTGCTCATTTTAACATTTTAAACTTAAGTTAATGATTCAGTAGCCATAATAAAATGTTAGATGTTAGAGCTGTCATCTTGCAGCAGCAGCAGCAGCAGCAGCTAATATAACCTATACTGCTTATATCCTGGTTGGCTGCTGATAGTCTAAACCCAGCCAGCTTGCTAAGCCTATAAACACCCCCAGCAGTGTTTAATGAGATTGACTTAGCTGCTCTTTCATACACAATAACACGCTTTTTGTGTCTGCAGACTGCAACATGTCTAATGTATTTTACTTCAATGCAACTATTCTATAGGACAGAGTCTCGAACATTACACTGATTGTTGGTTGTGTTCGTACATTTTGATTGGAAGACCACAAATGTGTTGTATCTTAACATGTTGATTGGATTTAAAGGTAATAATGCATCTGTTTGTTCTCGAATCAAAAGGTCAGTAAACTGCTTGTTCCAAATGGATAATGAGCCTTTACATTATGTTTTGCATGCAACCTATATTCAACACACACAGTTTGAATGTATGGGGGGGGGGGGTTGCACACCTAGACAACAAGCTATCCATACAGAAAAGAGGTTTATATGGAAGAAGCTGTTCTTACTTGTTCCATGGCTTCAGGCCAGAGCCTACCTCACTCCGCATAGCCTATTATCTGACATCTGGTCCTTCTCGACAGCGACTTATGTGGTAATAGTATGTTTCAACAAAGGCTGTTAATCTCTGTAATGCCTGTTGTTTGGAAGGGGAAAACGCTTATTTCCCTATGATCACAATCAGCCCGTTATACTGTATATGGTGGAGTCTACTTTGGATGGGGGGTGTTGTGAGATCCTGGCAGTTGTTGTAGATGTTTTGTATTTCAGTCGTGTGGTTTGGATCAGACAAGGTGCAGATTTGTAAATTTGGTAAACCTGTCATGTGATTTTTAGGGGCATAGCATGCAAACACCCGTACAACCGAGAGTTGTGCTTTCACAGCGGCTGTGATAAAGCATTTATCAGAAGAATAGGGTCTGCAGACTGGTAGGATTTGGGTTCCAGCACTCATGGTTTTTGTATGAGGCTGGAGATGATTGCTGTCTCGCAGTACTTTTTTTTTTTCTTAAATTCAAGATTCAAGTTCTTGGTTGTCAGCTCGGCTCGGCGCAGATAAAAGACAGTCATCCTCAAAGCGTTCTCTCCTCACATCAATGACACGCGCTACTTCTGCTGCTTCTCTCTCCTGCTGCCGCCGCTCCTGACACACATCTGTGAGTTCACAGTGTGGAGGTTTTCCATTATGAGATCATGGTGTTTTTTTCTTTTTCAGTCGACCATCCCTAAACTTTTTGTCTTACAGTGCTTATCGCTCTCTGCTCAGGGGGGGGTGGTGGGGGGGGAGGCAGTGACATGGCCTTGTTTTTTCCACTGTCCAAGCCAACGCAGTGCCTCCTGTCACTGACAGGCCAGAGGTCAAAAAACTAAAAAGATTCTGCTCGGAGAAAATGGGTGAAGGCTTTCTTTGGAGCTGAAGCTGACGCAGTCTTTTATAAATGTACAATATGAATAAAACATGCCGGAAATCTTTGAATCAAAACTAACGCCCCAAAAGGAAGACAGTTTAAATCCACCATGTCATTATTGAAATCGAGCAGATGAGATGATCATTAAGAGCAAAGATCAGTTTCTGTGTTTTATGAACGATTACGCAGCAATGTCAGAAAAGTCGATTTACAGATAAACGTGAAATCTCAGTCTGCGTCTCAGCGATGAGATCCATCACTTGTATATCCTTGAATGAATGAAGCCAGTATACTGTTGATTAGTATCTGTTTGAATTGGTCAAAATACCTTAAATTAGAATTTACACCAACCGTCAGAGGAGAGCAAAGAGGAGACTCTCCTCCCAAGAAGAAAAACTATCAAAGTTAAATTGCCAGAACAATCTGATGGAAGAGCGTGACATCGTCTGGTGTTTGTTTCCAGCTTCTAAACCAACACTCAATCTTTTTTATTTATTTTTAGCATAACCAGGTTTGTTCCCTCACATGTTTTTTTTTTTTTATTTGCGGTAACTATGGCAACGGATGTCTCCCAACCCTTGAAAAAGCCAGTCATTTAAACCCAAACTATGAGGTGAATCTAAGCCTAGCCAAGCCCTTTTTGTATCTAAACATAAAAAAAAACAAAAAAACAACTCGCTGATGTTGTGAGATCATCGAACCTGATGTATTATTCTGCAGTGATCTGGAGCACGGGCAAACAATACGGTCCTGTGGATGAGTGCAGAGGGCATAAACAGAAACATACTGTGTTTCATTTGGAGGACTTGTTAGTGTAAGAGGGTATCCACTGTATAACAAACAAAGAATTACCAGTTCTCCTCGGAAAATGAGTCAGTTGGACGTAATCTAATTCAGCTCCACTTCTTTCTAACCTCAGATTTAAATCTCTTTGTTTTGACCAGAAAACCTCTGATGATATCACGGCCATCATTCTTTACGTCTGAGCTCACTACTGATATCCTCAAGTGTTTTGCTTATTCGTTGAACTGCTGAGGTCACCCATTGGTAGTCAGAAACCTACTAAACAATTAGAGATCGACCAGACAGGTTCAAAGAAGTGAGAACATACGGCCCAATGTCCACCGTGTTTTTTTCCGGGCAGAAAAGCGCTGGCTGTGCACTCGGGAGCGTTTGCATGAAGCATTTGTGCGCTGAGAAGAAAAAGCGCTGCAAGTCCGTCCTGTCGCTATGACAACAGTCTTAACAATGGCCGTTTTTTTTTTTAAAACGTTTTTTACTCAGTCAAGACGCGATCCTTAGGCGAAATTACAGGGAATATCACACATTTTGAAAAGAGCGCAGGTGACGTCAACGGCGCCTTTCTGAGAAGTTGTAAGATCTTCAACCTGAGCACTCGGCGCGGCCGCACAAAAAAGGCAGAGACACTCTGGGCGCTGCGCTTTGTCTCCAGGCAGAGACAAAAACTTTAAAAGTCGCCAGCAGCTCTTTCAAGACAGTTTTATAAAACTTCTCTGGGTTATAAATATATTTCTCAGACGACACTTTGTGTTCTTTGAAGTGGTTAGAGTTCATTAAGAGACCTCTAACCACACAAGAGAAAGCTTTACTGCCTTGTTAGATATTAAGAGTTCTGTTGTTAAATTAGTAAAAACCACTCATTTGTTTTGTAGTTCTGACTAAACCAGACAGCTTTTAATGTTGAATCAGCTCTGACAGTGTGGGATTGTTAAATGGTAAATGGACTTTCTAGTCTTCTGACTTCTCAAAGTGCTTTTACACCTACACATTCACACACTGATGGTATTGGTCGTTATGTAGTAGAAGATAACTAATCCCATTCATACACCGCCACCGAAGCACCGGGAGCAATTTGGGGTTAAGTATCTTGCCCCAGGACACATCGGACACGTTGACCCAGTTGGGGATCGAACCCTCGATCTTCCGGTTGAGCGACAATGACTCTACCAACTGAGCCACAGCGGCCCCTGTTTTAGTTGAGGTCGTCAAACTTTATACACTTTGATTTTCTTCGACACTTTTGAAAATGTGAAAACCTCACAGGTGTTGCTGCTCCCTGTTTGTATGTGAAGCCAGAACAACATTCAAACACATTTCTTTGGAATCATTTGAAATGTTTTTTATGCATTTTTAGTTTGTAATTTTTCATTTTTTTGCTCTTTCAATAAGACATGACGTTCAATTGGTATCAGTAGATATGTATCAGAATCGGAAATTGAGAAAAAGTGGATCGGTGCATCTCTCGTGACAAACGTAGTTCCAGTGCTGTGAATAAAGTTGTCATCCTCAGGGATGTAGTGATTCATTTCCCTGAGCATTCACAGAAACGGTTCTCTTTATTCAGTTTTAATCAGGAGAAAAGCAGTCATGGAAACCAGGAGAGATGATTGGAAAACATGAATGTACTGCGGTATAAATAGCGTGATCATCCGTTCAGAAAATGATACGGAGCAAAGGGAGCTGAAATGGATATTTTGATCATAATTTATTTCCTCCTTGGTCAGTAAGTCAATTCAAAGCCCCGAGAGTGGGAGGGCAGTCATATTAGAAATGCAACGGCAGAACGGGGAACACAGCAATAAACTTTTACACAGTGTACTAGTGGGAAAGAAATTCTACTTTTTCAGAGACAAAGACGACAACAGCAGAGACGGATACGATGCTGGGAAATCTGTGGATAGAGATGTATTCCTGGTAGTCTGTAAAAACGCTGTGAAATTGCCTCATTTGGAGGAGACGCCGGTGCACTGAACTCCTATAATGAGGGACGGATTCTCCCCAGGCATGTCCCTCATTTCTGTGTGGCCCTTTGATTATGTAATAATGATGCGAAAAGGCGTCTTCTCCGCGCCTCATTCTTTCTTGTTAGCGAGCGGAACCCGGGAGTAAGCTGGGCCGTTTCATCTCGTCTGTGTTGAGCTGTTGCTTAGTTTCCCTTCTGTCTGCGTTACCGCTGGAAGTCGGTGACATTTATTGAGTTGTGATGGGAACATTTTGACCGTGTTTTCTCACCTACTTGTACCAACGCTGCCTTTTGACTAGAAGATGATTTTTTTTGATGTCGGTGTCAGGAACATGCCCTCCGCGGCTGCCGTTGAGTCTCAGACAATAGAGGTGGTTCTGGGGGATTATTCTTCACAAACACCACTTCATATAGCTGTCAGTGGGTTTGTTACAGCAGGAGAGTGCTTTCAACAAAAACCACGACGACTCTGCCGCAGTACTTCTTTTTATATATTTGAGCTTTTTGAAAGAGTCCAAACCAAAATGAATTCTAATAAAGCTGTCTGGTGAGACTGTTTTGTATTCGTGCACATGTTGTTGCCTGCTTTTCGTCAAAGGAGACCAAAATACACCTTAAAAGAAGAATCCAGCGGCTTGGATGCAAAATCCAGCCAGTGGATCAAAGTGT